TCTCTCAAATTTTTACTTTATGTTGGTTTGCTTACAAAGTTTATATGAAAAACTGAGTTTCCCTCTTCTCTGCTCAATTTCCAATCCTTTTACCATTTGCAAACTAATAGGAGATGCAGGCCATACCCTAGAGAGACTCTCTTAATTCAGTGAGGGCAGAAGAATGCAATTAAGGGTATTGCATCACATTCTACTCTTAGAAAAATGGAGGGAGACCATTAGTAAGATGAACAGGCACAGTGACTGTGACAGTGGACTTGAGACTGGATGACTGTGTTCCAGAAGACTTTCAGTGGTTGACCTTTGGGAGTGGGTGACCAGGCCTTTTTGGTCTTAGTCCATTTGAGATGAAAAGTTCACCTGAAACCTGCTTATCCTCCTAACAGCAAGAAAGCCGTCTTTGTTATTGGGTGCTGGCTGCCCATGAGGTTCATTGACTGGAATTTAAACCTGGCTCTTGCACAGGATGATGCTGTTATGCACTCTGGAGTCAGAATTGACCCTCTTGTTGGTTTTCAGAGGCTGCAAATGCAACAGGAGGAGACTGATCCACTCACATATTGCTGTTGTTGTTAAGTGCCATGAGTCAAGCATGACCCATAGCGACCCTATGAGCAACAGATCTGAGCCTTGTCCTACCTTGTATCATCCTCACAATCTTTGACACATGTGAGCCCAACGGTGCAGTCACTGTGTTGTTCCAGCTCATTGAGGGTCTTCCTCTGTTTCACTGACTCTCCACCTCTCCAAGCTTTCTTCCACTGTGCCACCATTGTCCCTGCTTAGGGAACCTGTAAGAAGGCCCCTTATGGCTCATTTTGAATAGTTTTAACTTGGATAAATGGAACAACCTTGGGAGAAGGACCAGGCCAATCTTTACATCAGACTGAGTGACTCTCAAGCAACACAGGCAAAATTGACCAGGGTTTTTTTCCAGGGATCATTGAGAGCAGCCCTTATTCTCCCATGATCACAGGAAGAACAGAAATCACAAGCCACTGTCAGATGTACGTCCCTCACAAGTACACTTAGTCATCCCTCTCAGTTAGGGCCCATAACTTATATCTTTTTCCAGTATATGTCTATGGTGGCCAGCCTTTCCAAACTCCATTCTTTACATCCTGGTTATGGTAAAGCTGGTCACTGTGATCATCAACACTAGAAACTCTTATGATTCCACAAGTAGAGGCAACATATTTTACTCGTGGGTCTGCCTTGGCAGGCTTGTGAGGGATTTGTGTGACCAATAATCATGCAGTGCACTATGGGACCACCTGGA